GGTGAACTTCTTCCTTTGGTTATAAATTCAGGTTCTCTGTTAATTTCATTAGAACAGAGTATGTCACAGTCATTTCTCATCTATGTTAGTATGTAACTCTCATCCCTACCAAAATTTGAACAGATTCCATAAAAAAAGTTTATTTCTGATTTTTATGAAATGTATATTCTTCATTTCCAGATATTTTAGTCAGTAATGTGCTAGCCATTAGTGATAGCCTTAAGTTCCAGACACTGAAGTTTCTAAGCTTTTTATCAGCTCCTGAGATGACAGATCACGGATCAGTAAACTATGGTCTGTAGTCTGTTTTTATATGAGCTGCCTGCTCAGAATGGTTCTGACATTTTTAAAGAAAGGTAAAAACAAAACAAAGAATATTCAATAGAATTGCTGGCTCTCGGTAACTAATCGTTAAAATGGGCACAGCAAAATAATTCAGATGTATAATTAATTGTTTTTTGGAGAATTGCTTGAAACCAGAAGGTGGAGGTTGAAGTGAGCCAAGATTGCACCCCTGCACTCCAGCCTGGGTGACAGAGTGAGACTCCCTCACAAAAACATAAAAAAAATTAACTGCTTTTTATTTTGATAATTCCATTCTTTTAGCTGTTTGATCAGTAGTGTTTCTTTTTTTCTATTTTATTAAAATTACTTCCCTCCATATCCATAAGATGGTGCTTTATATGACAAAATTTGACATTCTGCTTCAGTTATTAATGGGATTAACCATTTAACTGAGTAAGGTCCTTATTTTAAATATAAGATTTATAGGTTCCATGATATGATGCCATATATATATGTATATACATATATACACACACACTATATATATATGCATATGTATTTTATATACACATAAAAATATATATGCATACAAATTAATAAAAACCTTCAATTGTTAGTGGAGTATTAACAGGCCCCAAAGTATATTATATTCCAGATTTAGAAGAGAGAGCACAAAGCCACTGTAGAAACAAATGACAAGATTAACTGGAAACCTACCAGAAGTAATTAACTATGTTACATAGTGATTTTGGAAACAAATAACTGATAAGATAGGTACTTCTGTGTCATCTAGAATTAGCCAGCTAAAATGTTAATATATAACGTGGGGATTATAACCCATTGAGAAAGTTTGTTAAAATTAGAAAGAATGATGACTGATAAATGCAGACTTAATAAGCCTGGTGGATTATTTCTGTAATCTAAAAAAAGAGCTAGGAATTAAGAATCTATTAGTGTGTAACCAGTACTACCACTTCTCTAAAGAAAAGAAAGACTATGTCTGGTAGATATAATTATGTTGTTTTTCAAAAAAGATATAAACTGGAAACCAAATAAATGAATATTGAGAAGTCCTCACAGGCGGGGCCCAAGTTAAGTGAGTTTAAGACAGTTGATCTGGCTTTACCATTAACAAAATGTGAAACTGTCTGAGATCAGTCAGCTTCATTCCATGCTCACTAAAAAATTCGATTTCTAGCTTAGCTCACCAGCTAAAGTAAATAACATCAGGAAGAGGTTACAATTAGTATTTCCAACACTAAAAATTAAAGGATGAATATTTAAAAATGTGCACGTACACAGCTAGGTATGTTTAAGTCTGATCATACTTCAGTGAGATGAGTGTACATTAAACATAAAAAAGTGACACTGGGCCAGGTTTGGTGGCTCATGTCTACTGTAATCCCATCACTCTGGGGGGCCTCGGTGGGCAGATCACTTGAGGTTAGGAGTTTGAGGCCAGCCTGGCCAATAAGGTGAAACCCCGTCTCTACTAAAAATACAAAAATTAGCTGGGTGTGGTGGTGGGTGCCTGTAATCCCAGCTACTTGGGAGACTGAGGTGGGAGAATCACTTGAACCCAGGAAGCGGAGGTTGCAATGAGCCAAGATCACACCACTGCACTCCAGCCGGGGCAACAGAGTTGGGGCAGGGGAGGGGAGTCAGACCAGAGCTTCTAAACACAAATAAGAAAAAGAAGAAGTGTTACAGGAATGTGGAGCTTCTAATCTCCTCAGCCCCCAGTGTCAGGGGTGGCTGGAGTCCCTTCAATCTACCAGCAAAGTTCGGTTATCCTGTCATGCCATACAAATATTATAATTTTCCATGTGTGTTTTAAAAAATGTTGGGAAGCACAGCATTAGGACACGACTCTCTGCTGACGCTACCCTAGTGTGGCATCCTTGTCACTCGTCTAAATACAACCAATTGTACTCATTATATTATTATATTACAAAAAACTGCTACATTCCATTTTTGATAAAACTATAAACTTTCATGAACAATGAGAAAAACATTTTATAATCTACAGTATCTACTTACAATTTTTAAATTAAATTAGAATTTCAAATTTATTTTTTATCTTAGATTTCATCATTTTATATATATTTTTGAGACAGGGTGTTGCTCTGTCACCCAGGCTTGAGGGCAGAGGCATAAACATGGCTCACTGCAGCCTCAACCTCCTGGGCTCTTCCCACCTCAACCTCCCAAGTAGCTTAGTACCACAGGCACACACCATCATGCCTGGCTAATTTTTTTAAAAACGTTTTTGTAGAGGCAGGGTCTCACAAGGGTTTTTGCCCAGGCTTTAAAAAAATTTTAAAAATAAGATTTTGCTAAGATACATGTAACATTTATCATTTAACCATTTAAAAATGTACAGATCAGTGGTATTATACATTCACATTATAATGCACTATCACCACTATCCATCCATAGAACTCTTGATTTTGCTTGACTGAAACTTTCCACCTGATAAGCAATAAATCCCCATACCCTCTAGCTCCTGGCAAACACATTCTACTTTCTGTCTCTATTAATGTGACTACTCTAGGTATAACTTATCTACTTTTATTTCCCTTTTGTCCTAAGGGAAAGGGTTAATACGTAGTGAATTGACTAAAGTCACACATAAGAATATATATAGTAAGAAAGGAATAACATCTAGATATAGAAAATACATATTAGACATCCTATTCTTTTTTTTTTTTTTTTGATGGAGTTTTGCTCTTGTTGCCCAGGCTGGAGTGCAATGTCTCGATCTTGGCTCATGGCAACCTCCGCCTCCCAGGGTCAAGCAATTATCTTGCCTCAGCCTCCTGAGAAGCCAGGATTACAGGCATGCACCACCATGCCTGGCTAATTTTTTTTTTTTTTTTTTGTATTTTTTAGTAGAGACGGGGTTTCTCCATGTTGGTTAGGCTGTTCTCAACCTCCTGACCTCAGCTGATCCACATGCCTCGGCCTCCAAAAGTGCTGGGATTACAGACGTGAACACCAGTGCCCAGCCTTAGATATCCTACTTTTCAACAATAAAAAGGAGAACAAGTTAGAAAATATTTTGTGCGTATCATATTTTCTTTGCCTTTGGAATTTCTAAATAACACTCATCTTCACTTGTCAAAATCCCATGCATTGTTTAAAGCAAGCTCAAATACCTCCTTCTGACAAGGCAGCCTAGAGTCCTCCAAAACTAAAGTGTCTATTCTTTCTTTGAGTTTTTGTTGCAATTTGTATTTCCATTAAAGTAGGATACCCACGCCAGGTGCAGTGGCTCATGGCTATAATCCCAGCACTTTGGGAAGCCAAGGTGGGAGGACTGTTTGAGCCCGAGAGTTCAAGACCAGCCTGAGCAATGCAGTGAGACTCTGTCTCTACAAAAAAATAAACACATTTAGTTGGGTGTGTTGGTGTGCATGTGTGCTGTCAGCTGCTTGGGAACTGAGTCAGGAGGATTGCTTGAGCTTGGGAGGTCAAGGCTGCAGTGAGCTGTGTTCATGCCGCAGACCGGGTGACAGACTGAGCAAGATCCTGTCTCAAAAACAAAACAAAAAAAGTAGGCTAACTGATCTTGCCTTATGTTATTGTTTACTAAGCTTGATCCTAGAGGAGCAGCATTTTTTAAAAATTATTTTTAATTTTTTAATTTTTTTGAGAAGCAGCATTTTTAATGCTGATATCTTACTGATCATCACAGCCTCTTGCATATAGTCAGTGAACACTTCTTGAATTGACTGCACTAATTTTCCTTCCAGGCTAGGTGTGGTGTCTCATACCTGTAATCCCAGCACTTTGGGAGGCTGAGGCGGGTGGATTATCTGAGGTCAGGGGTTTGGAGACCAGCCTGGCCAATATGGTGAAACCCCATCTCTATGAAAAATACAAAAAATTAGCCAGGCATGGTGGCATATACCTGTAATCCTAACTACTCAGAACGCTGAGGCAGAACTGCTTGGACCCGGGTGGTGGAGGTTGCAGTGAGCCAAGACAGTGCCATTGCCCTCTAGCTTGGTTGACAGTATGAGACTTCCAGATGACGTGTAGCTTTTCAAAACACTTACAGGGAATCACGTTGTTCATATAACCACTTATGTATCAATTATATAAACTTATCTACCCATTCAACATATGCTAGCCAATGAGATAACAAATACAAGCCAAGACCTGAACTATATCATAAACTCACGAGAAATCAGACACTTCAAACACTATATACTGGAGGTGCACAGTCTTCTTGTTTTCTACCCTACCTGAAGTCTTGCTCTGTCACCCAGGCTGGAGTGTGGAAGCATAATGTTGGCTCACTGCAACCTCCACCTCCCAGGTCCAAGCGATTCTCTTGCCTTAGCCTCCTGGGCAGCTGGGACTACAGGCATGCATCGCCAGAGCTGGATAATTTTGGTATTTTTAGTAGAGGTGGCGTTTCACTATGTTGGCCAGGCTGGTCTTGAACTCCTGACCTCAGGTGATCCATGTGCCTTGGCTCCTCAAAGTGCTGGGATTACAGGTGTGAGCCACTGTACCCGAGCTCTTTTTGTTTTAATGCTTATAATCTACTTAGTGAAAAGACTAAAAGCAGAGTTGCTGGTATCTGCATCTTTTTTTTTCTTTTTGAGACGGAGTTTCATTCTTGTTGTTCAGGCTGGGTGCAATGGCACGATCTCGGCTCATGGCAACCTCTGCCTTCTGGGTTCAAGAGATTCTCCTGTCTCAACTTCCTGAGTAGCTGGGATTACAGGCATGTGCTACCACGCCCAGCTAATTTTGCATTTTTAGTAGAGACAGGGTTTCTCCATGCTGGTCAGGCTGGTCTTGAACTCCTGACCTCAGGTGATCCACCTGCCTTGGCCTCCCAAAGTGTTGAGATTACAGGTGTTAGCCACCATGCCTGGCCAGTATCTGCATTTTTAATAAAGTATTGAGAAAATAATGACAATTATGTGAATCCTGAGTATAAACTGTATTTTCAAATAGGATGGCGGCAGAAAAGCAGCAAAAGAGTCCAAGGAAAGGAAGGAAAAAGGAAGGTTGTTCTAATCCAGATTAGAATAGCTCTAGGTTTTTCTCACAAAGAGATAAGTGAGGCTGGGAAAAGAGATAGCACAGCAAAAAGCTACCTTAAGAGAGAAAGTAGGTTCTTAGTGGGAATGAACTGGGTGTTTCTGAATAAAGAAGACAGAAGTTGCCTGTTGCAGAATAGCATTAACTAGAGTCATGGGAGGTGAAACTTTCATTCTTCCTGTAGTTCAGTTTTTATTTATTTATTTATTTATTTAGTCTTAAGGTTATACCTGACATAGTTCAGTTTTAAAGTTCCCCACCCAGTTTTAACAGCTAAGAATGTAACTAAACTGCGAAGACAAGTAACTGCTTCTCTCCTCAGCAAATATTTATTGAGTATTTGCTTTGTTTAGGTGCTATGCAAAACAAAAGGAATACAGTTTCTGTCCTTAAGGCACTTACATTCTCTGGTTGAATTAGTTTTTGTTGACACATTAAATGCCTGAACAACAACTCCGTCACATGTGTCACTTCAAAGGCCAGAGCTTTTCTATAAAATGTAACTTTTGAGGTTGCCTTCATATATAAATATCACATATGGCGGGGCAAGGTGGCTCACGCCTGTAATCTCCGCACTTTGGTTGGCCGAGGCATAAGGATCATTTGAAGTCAGGAGTTCAAGACCAGCCTGGCCAACATGGCAAAACCCCATCTCTACTAAAAATATAAAAATTAGCCAGGCATGGTAGTGGACACCTGCAATCCCAGCTACTTGGGAGGCTGAGGCAGGAGAATTGCTTGCACCTGGGAGGCGGAGGTTGTAGTGAGCCGAGATCACACCACTGCAATCCAGCCTGAGTGACAGAGGGAGACTCTGACTCAAAAAAAAAATCACGTGTACACTGTGAAAATTTGTAAACATATACAAAAGCACATTAAAAAAATGTCTTCAGAGGAATATCGAAGTGTCAAAAGAAAGTCAAGCTCTTATTTCTCCTCATCTTTATCACAGCACTGTTCCCACTCCATTGCCCAGTTAACAGTTTTGTGTGGCTCGCCTCATATTGTCAATGCATATGGAAATGCTCATCCATCCACCCATCCATCACTGAATTTAATATTGGGGAAAATACCCATAGCAGATACTTTCAGCCAAAGGTTCTAGAATTAGAAATGTTTTCATTTTGGGTATAAAACCATGAGATTATAAAATGATTAGCTCTTACTTCAAATATTGGCATGGTAAATTCCTTATCAACAAGTTCGGAAAAAATATAAAAAATTATTCTTATGGAAAATTGAAAATACTCAAAAGAATAACTAAAATTTATGATGCCTGAAGAGAATCATAGCATGTTAGAATAAAAGGAGCCCAGAACTCATTTCATTATAACCTCCCACTTAATTTTACAGATAAGAACACACTGAGGATATTTAATGATTTGCCCCAGGTTGCCCAATCAGTTCACATTACTAATTCTACATTAGCATATAGTCTTGATTTGCCTTGTTTACAGTATTACCTCTCAGTTTTCATTAGGACATAGCTGAGCTTGTACCTCTTTTGAAAAAAAATTCCCTTATTATTATTTAAAAAGAACTTTATTGTAGAACAAAATAGAAAATCCAGATAAGCAAAAATAAGGAAGAAAGAACTACCCAACTAATATTGAATCTTCTTAATTTTATCACCACTGCATAACCTTATCTGGAGGAACTGGGGAAATCTTATTACTACTCATGTACTGATTATAGCCGGTATTCCAGGAAATCACAATCAGGTTACTAAGCTAAAGCCAGAATTGTAGAAGGTCAGGGTCAGAATGGTGCTGTTGCCTGGAGCAGAGTAGGATCACAGAGTGCTGACAGGCTTTAAGTATTCGGCTGTATCTTGTGGTTTTCATCTGACCTTATTTCTCATTAATGTGTATGTATGCAATCCACTTTCTTCCTTTAGGTTATAATAGACAGAGCATAGTGTCTGCCATAATCTCTGCCCACTTTCTGAGCAGCACTTGCCTAGCCACAGCCCTTAATAAACAGTCCTCAGGGTCCGGTGTGGTGGCTCATGCCTGTAATCCCAGCACTTTGGGAGGCTGAGGCAGGCAGATCACCTGAGGTCAGAAGTTCGAGACCAGCCTGGCCAAGACGGTGAAACCCCGTCTCTACAAAAATACAAAAAAAAAATTAGCCAGGCATGATGGTGGGTTCCTGTAATCCCAGCTACTCGGAAGGCTGAGGCAGAGGAGAAGGGCTTGAACCTGGGAGGTGGTTGCAGTGTGCGGAGATTGCACCATTGCACTCCAGCCTGGGCGACAGAGTGAGTTCTGTCTCAAAAAACATTAAAAAACAAACAAACAAACAACAACAACAAAAAAACAAAACAGTCCTCAGCAGCTGTATTTGGAACGGTGTGACCCCTACTCACCATTAAGGGCAGCCATTCTGTAGGCTGGGTAATAACCTTAGGAAGTGTTGCCAAAAAGGGGTAAAGGGTATCACCCAGCAAGAATGAGCTATGCCAATGAGATTCTTAGTCTTGGAAAAAAACAGGGAGAACTACATTATAAGACAGTAGATGCAGAGAGAATGTACATAAACTTGTTTCAAGACAAAGGGCTGTGAGTAAGCCAGTGAGTAAGTGGAAAATATGAGTAAGCAGAAACTTGGAGAGAAACAAAGAGAAGCTGATATACTAGAGGAAAAGATGCATGGACTTGCCGCCTTGTGTCCAGGCTGGTCAACTGAGCCATCCTGTTTTCTCCCACCTGTAAGCTTAGTCTTCATTACTGCTACACGTACCCTTAAAATAATTGTCCCTTTTTTTTTTTTGAGGCGGAGTTTCCCTCTGTCGCCCAGGTGGGAGTGCAGTAGTGCCATCATGGTTCCCTGCAACCTCTGCTTCCCAAGCGATTCTCCTGCGTCAGCCTCCCAAGTAGCTGGGACTACAGGCATGTGTCACCATACCCAGGTAATTTTTGTATTTTTAGTAGAGACAGGGTTTCACCATGTTGGCCAGGCTGGTCTTGAACTCCTGACCTCATGTGATCCTCCCGCTTTGGCTTCCCAAAGTGCTGGGATTACAGGCGTGAGCCACCACGCCTGCCCAACTGTCCTTTATTTTCTCTAAACTGCAACTTTCTTTCTTTCTTTCTTTTTTTTTTTTTAATAAAGGTGGGGTTTCTCCATGATGGCCAGGCTGGTCTTGAACTCCTGACCTCATGTGATCCACCCACCTTGGCCTCCCAAAGTGCTAGGATTACAGGCATGAGCCACCTCACCTGGCCAATTTTCATTTTTTTTAAAAAGGGAGGTTGAATTATATAATCACTAAAAAATCTCTTTCAACTCTTTAATCTTGAGTAGCATTATCTGCATGTATAATAAAATGACTGAGATCAGAGGTTCTCAATTTTGACTGATTATTACACTCACCTAGGGAGTTAAAAAAATTAAGATTCTGAGGCTGGGCGTGGTGGCTCACGCCTGTAATCCCAGCACTTTGGGAGGCCCAGGCAGGCGGATCACTAGGTCAGGAGATCAAGACCATCCTGGCCAACATGGTGAAACCCCATCTCCAAAAAATAAATAAATAGATAAATAAAATAAAAAATAAAAAATTAAGATTCTGAGGACTCACTGAATCAGAGTATCATAGAAAAATCTTGGCCGGGCACGGTGGCTCATGCCTGTAATCCCAGCACTTTGGGAGGCTGAGGTGGGTGGATTATGAGGTCAGGAGATCAAGACCATCCTGGCCAACATGGTGAAATCCCATCTCTAAAAAAAGAAGGAAAAAAAAAAAAAAAGAAAAATCTTTCTGGTTTTGAGTCTCTGTTTAGCAGGTAAAAATCATGTTTCTTCTGAGAAATGAAAGCATGCTCGAGAAACCATTTGAAGTTAAAATGGAATATTTAATAATGGTCCTCCTATTTTGATTTTCTTGCCTTTTAATCTTGATTTATATTTATTTGCTAAAACATATAATTTTCAATATTTCCTAATTTATTTTCTCTACTTTTAAAAATTGGCACATAACTGTACATATTTAAGGTATTTTATTTGCTTTTAATCCAAATTTTTCTTATTTCTTTTTGTTTAATTTATGTGCACATACATTTTTAGCTAACAATGTATTTCAGTTTATGTTAATTGATTTCATATTTTATGAGGAATTAGAGCAATATATACTATCATCTATAAGACAGGTAATATACACATTCAGAAAATGCATTAATGCAAATCTTTCAAAGTCTTTTCATAAAACATATTTGTGAAATCTGTTCATTTTATAAATATGAAAGGAAAAAATTAAGTAAAATACATTTAGTAAGCATCAGGAATATTAACATTTTAAGTTTTAAAAATTGTACTTACAAAGAGTGTTGGTTTAGGTATAAATATATTGTCTCCATGCTCTTTAGGCATATTCAAAGTCTTTGATTTCTGATTTTCTGTCACATTTTTTGATTCTGTTTTAGTGAGAAGTAATCTGTTCTCAGAATGTTTGCTACGCATCTTAACGAGAATCTGTTTCATTGCTGCCAATTCCTGTTGATACATGAAAACAGAAGTAGCAAGTGTGATTTTAGCAAGCAGACTAACAATAATTATTACTAAAATATTTATTTTTCTTTAAGTAGAAGAAACATTTGCAACAATTATACTACACACGTAAGTTGTGAAAATAAAATACTAATGTACAATAATCATGCACATGAATCATAATCATTAATACTCATTTAATATAACTGACAATTATAA